AGGCACCTACATAGTTTGTTGCACCTACATAGTTTGTTGCACCTACATAGTTTGTTGCGACACAGAGCTCTGTGTCGCTAAAGCCCGCCCCTACTTCTCCCTCTTATGTCTCCAAAATTGAGGAAGTAGAAAATATATTATTTAACATTTAGGTGTCGCGAAAATGTATGTGCTTTTTATAGCTGCTGTCAGTTTACAAACGGCTTTTATATCCAACTTAATTTAACTCAGCTGACTGTTTTAACATCTAACGATCGTGTTTCAGTCAGTACAGTGTGTGTGTGTGACTGAGGCTGGTGACTCGCAGTCTCGCTCGTTCACGTTCTCTGAACGAACTGAACGAGAGCTCCGACATGAATCACTGAACGAACTGAGAGTAAGAGCGGAGCTCTCGTTCAGTTCGTTCAGAGAACCTCTTCTTGTACTGAACGTACTGAACAGAACGGTCGGGGAAAATAAATGTGATTGTTTTAGCAGCTTTCAGTTTGCAAACTGTAGCTTTATCCAACTAAATTCTCAGCTCATTGGCTTATTATTCACCACCAGCTGTTCTCAGTACGATCGCGAGCAGAACTAAATGTTTGGCCGTGTTTCAGATTATTAAATTCTGATTCGCAGACAGAGCTGCAGAGAAGTACTGAACGATTCGGTGAACAAATCTTTTGAACGAATCACTTTACTGAACTGATTCTACTGATTCAGTACACTGAAAAGAACTGCTTTTCACATCACTACTGTGCGTTTTGAAAATGGGTGACAGTATTTCTCTTCACACATCTTTACCACCCTTCCCTGCCTCACTTCATTACACTAAAGTAATAAGAATTCTATTTTTGAGTCATTCGTGCAAAGCTTTTTAAAAAGGCTTACAGAGTCAAAGGGCCATATTAGTTCTGGCCACTGGAATTCCATGGTTTTGAAACTTTAGCTTGAGCTGCTTGTGGTTAGGTTTCTCAGACAGAGAGATTGAGTTGGGGTCAATGTGGCTCAGGATCTGTGCCACAGTACAGCTGAGGTGTTTTTTCGATTCAACACAGCATAGTGGTCTTGGTTGTGTTGAGGTACAGGAGTCAGGACCCTACTAAATGTGTTCCAATGAAAAGTCCTCATTTGCTCGGGTAAAACTAATACTCTGTGATAATTTCCCCAATGAAAATAGATCTAGGATCGTATACTCAACAGTGCGTTGACCCAGACATATAAAAATATAAATGAGAGTCCACAAGGGTGTGTTGTTCCTCCATCATAACCTTGGAGATCAGTGACATCTGTGTTTTATTAGGAGGACATGAAATCATCTCCACCTGCTCCATTTGATTCCAATCTGTTACTCAATGATGTTTGCAAAGGTCAGACAGTGAAATTAAAACAATATATTTCAAACTGCAACAGTACTGTAGCATGAAATGAGGTTTGGCTTATTAAATTTGATATTCTGTTGTCTTTCTAGTGCGAGGACTGAATCGAATGATGTAGCGGGTTTATCTGATATGCTGTAAGCTCATCTCTTCTCTAGCTGTTTTTAGACAAAAGTGTCTGCTGTTGTCTTTATACCATGTCAGTCTATTTTTTGTCACTGTTTTGTGATCTCCTCAGGTGGTCATAGATTCATAGATTTCTCTTTTGCCTTCAGCTTTATGTACGCATTTTTAGTAATCGATTAAAAAGAAAGCAGAAAAGAAAACGTAAGTGATTCTTCCTCCAGCTGTGAAAAAGGTCACAGTGACATCATTTAAAAAGTCTGCTCTCAGAGACTTGTCAGTGCTCAATGTCACAGCTGGAGCTAAGTAAAAACCATTGCAGAGATCAATCCTGTTTGGGTCATGAAGAACCATTTAATATTCCTCCCAGTTGCACTCCATCGACAGATCACAATTTGCCAAATGCGGAATCTCAAAAGGACAGCGTGTGCATAACTACTCTCAGCCACCATCGAGCCATCTGGCAATATTTGATTTACAGCACTCCATCATTGAGCATTATGTAAGGGTTGTCAAAGAACTACAAAAAAACAACCCTTATGACTGCATGAATGTCGATGTCCAAAGTCTCTTTCCTACCTAGTTATAGAACTTTGCAGATTTTTGGCAGCTCTGTGTGGCCTTGCCTACGTTTGAAATTGTGCAGTGTAGGCATAAGTTATGTCATGATGTATATGGTTATTGACCAGTTTTGCAACCTGACTACAGACAGTTATGTTGGCCTGTTGGTTGATTGGACCACTGCTCTGGTCCAGTCAGAAATCTCTCAATCATCAAAGTTTATAGAGGCAGTCTGGCCATGTTTCTCTCAGAAGGATAATATGATAAACTTGAAGTCATAAGGCTGAAAGAAAATGAATTGATGCCAAGAAACTTTTTTTAAACCTTGTTTTGCATCAAATTTTTGCCCATATACCATGTGTAATATGTTAATTATAAGGTGAGTTACTGTACTCAAAGAGTTGCACAAAGAGTAAAGAAATAATTTGCTTCCTACAATGTCTCACAATGGTTACAAAGAATGACACCAACCTAAAGGAAAGGCAATAAGGTGAGGAGGGTGATGGGAGCTGTAATTGTATTCATATAGAGAAGAGCAGAGTCAAGTCAGGGAGATAAGGGGGGCAGTAGTTGGAGCAAAGGAAATCAGCCTTACTCTCTGATCGGTCATGGGAAACACAGTGCTGAAGGATTCAAAGGCTTGTCCCGCCTGAGGAAAAAGAATCCCATTTTCATCAGAATACAGTCTTGACACATTGGTGCAGCTTCAAAGTAACGGCAAGCACCGACTTCAAGGTATCAAATGTACGTTTTTTCAATGAGTGAAGTTGTGCAAGAATTGGAAGGAACCTGGAGAGTGACGGGGGGAAAGGAATTGAAGAGGGGGATTGGGGTGATGGGAAGGCTTCCTGTGGGAATTCTTAGCCTTGAAAGATTTTGGAAATGTGGCCAAAAAAGAAGAATGGTTATGCTTGAGGATGCATTACGTGAGGAACTATGGAGTTTGTGCATTGAGCTACTTGAGAAGGATAAAGTTAGCCTTACCTTAAGCCTTTGCTCATTGAGCCCCAGGGCTAAAAGGTGTGAAAACCAGTTTTCTGTGGCTTTTAGGTTCCCCACTTCGAGTTCAGAAATCAGAGATGAAAAAAAAAGAGAAAACCCTCTACTTGTGGTCAGCAGCATGTCAGTTTTTGGCTCAAGGGGTGATTTGCTGCAGGAAGTTGATCCTCTGTCTATTTTCTCTCTCTCTCTCTCTCTCTCTCTCTCTCTCTCTCTCTCTCTCTCACACTCTCTCTCTCTCTCTCTCTCTCTCTCTCTCTCTCTCTCTCTCCTGTTTTCACACATCTCCTTTGCCTTCAACCATGCTTCCCTGGGCATCATGATACATTCCTTCATTTTCTTATTATTTAATTCTGCTCTCTGTAACGTCTTTTCACAATCCCTCACTTATCCCTCATCCCACTGCAGCCAGGATCATTGTTTAATACTATAGCAGCTTCCCATTAGAGACTGTAATCAGCCACTGGAGACTAGATTTATTCTTCTTCTAATTCACTCCATTTCACATCTCTGCTTTATGCTTACTTAGTTTTGTGTGTGCACTAAATGCATGCAGGATGCAGCCCATGGAGAGGGCTTTATGCATTTGTGTAACAAATCTAGGGATGATGACTTTTAAAAAGCGTTCATTATGCGAGCACCTAATGCTTCAAATGCTGTGACTGGCTGAGCACTGGAGAGGGGGCAGCCAAGCCCTCTGCTCTGCAGCTGAATGCTGCCAGTGTGCCTGCATGGGAGCACTGGGGCAGAGGAATCGCTTTTGTGCCCTCGGTGAGCTCATCGACTGGGAGCACTCTCCAGAGATTTAGCTAAGGGTCTGCACCCTGCCTACTTGTCTGTATGCCTGCCTGCCCAGGGATATTTCATGCTTGGGATAAGGGGAGGGATTTGAGAATTCCCACTGCCTATCCTGGTGCTGCTGTTGGATGTAAGTACTCACTCTGTGCTGTTTAGTTAAAGAATGGACTATCAGTGCTGTATTGCTCTGCACCTACTCACACCAGATTGTGTTTACCATTATCTTTAACTTTGTTTGGTCAAGCCTAACTTTATCCATTATAGTTAATAATGAAAGCACCATCAGCTGCAGTAAAAGTAACCATCAGGGTCTTCTTTTTAAACCAGTCAAAGTTGTATTGATGATGGCCGCTTCCTCAGTCCCCCTGTTGTCAGCAGACTGGCTTTAATTAATGGGACATTCCACAGAGAAAGTTAGCGACCAAGTGATGAGCAGAGAGGGAGTAAAGAGAAGAGAAGAGTTGAGTGTTTGTGACACTCTCTGCCAGCCGAGGCTGAAAAAGTAGAGAGAGGAGGCTTTGATACTGCTCTTCACCAGGACCAAGAGAGCATGGATCACCATGGTGACGGCATTGTTGAGCAGTGAACAGGAATTGGAAGAGAGACCTTGTGGTACTAATACACATCTTTATTATGTTTTCAGACCAAGCTCATTCTTAATTGAAAATAATGAATCTTCTTTTGCATGAAAATACATTGACAGTAATTTTGAGTGTGTTCTCTAATGCACCACATAGCTGGTGCTCTTCCTGAATGATTGTGTGTGGATTTACAAATATAATGTGTTTTGAATTGTGGTACTAAAATTACACAGATTTTTTTTCGTGTGATTTGCAAGCTCAAATTGAAGAAAAAAAGAAGCCATTCTGTCTTGACTTAGGGACACTGTTCCTCTCACTGCTGTAGTAAACTGGTACATTGCCTTCAGCGACACACAGATGTCAGAGCGACTGACTTGCTTATTCTGCACTTATCATCTCTCATAGACGCCAAATGTGCAACTCATTTTTTTCTCTTGTGTGTGTCTCCGTCTTACGCTCATTTTCTTTTAAAATACAAGACTTCTTCCAGGGAGTTCTGGTCAACAGTCATTGTGAAAACTATTGCTTGAGAAGCACCAAAACATCTACTTATTTTATTTCTCACTGTGTTTGTCAACAGCAACCAGTTCCACTAAGCTGGAAGACCTGAGCTACCTTGATGAACAACGCAACACCCCCCTGCGGACATCCATTCGCCTGCCCTGGCATAATACAGGAGGAAGGCCACCTCAGGATTCTAAAGGTGACTGCTCTATTCATTGTTGTTAATTTTACGCACAGGTAAATAGGGAGAAACACAGTTTATATACTATTTCTCAACTGATTTAGTGCAGTGGTTCTCTACTCATCTAACCGACAGACTGTTTGACACCAGTTTTTTGCTCAAGACCCACTGAAAACAGCTCTGCGACCCACCTTTGGGTCTCGACCTACCAGTTGAGAACCACTGATTTAGAGCAATACATTTGATTATATAAGCTTTCATGTGACAACTAGAAAATGATAAGTACTGTTTGATTGGAAATACCTAATATTAATTATTCTGCAAAAATGTAGCTCCAGACATTTAACATCCTGTAAGGTTCCAGCTTTCTTCTTGATTATATGTTCAATCTCTCTGAGAGAAATCCCACTGAGTTAATATTTGATGAGATCATGAATAATTGAATTTGACATGGTTGGTTGCTCAAACTATTTAACCATGCTTTGAAAACGTCCTATTCCTTTTTCACACCACCTTAGCATGATTTTGATACAGAATCAGCGTATTAGAGGATAGATTTTTATTTACATCATCATCATGTATCTTCATTAATTTAGTAGGGACTACAGACAGTTTTATGCCACCTGATACACAGTAAGAAAATAAATCTATAGTTTGTTCAAAGCATTAAATAGTTGAGAGTTGGCTCTCTGGTGGTTGAGGTGGGCGTACAGGCAAGAGAGGTCAAGTCAAAAGTTTGCCAGCGGTTCCCCAAAAGAGAGTTATAGAGTTTATGTGTAATGTGTTTTTTAAACTTCACATGCATTTGTTAGTCTTCCAGTGTCTTGCAGCCATTGAAAATAAAATATTCTTCCAGTGTTAAGGTTGCCAGAAATATTAGAGTAAAAAGTAGCAAAGAATTCAGAAGGGGTTTAACTTTGAACAGCATGCAACATTTGTAAATGCAGCAGCAGCAAATATAGTATTGGTAGTTGTATTGATACTAGAAGTAGAGAGGATCAGAGGTTTAGAAGAGCCCCGGAAAAAAAGAAGTGTTCAGAGAACTAATTAGTGCTGAAGTGGCCCAGAAAGAGTCCCCTCTCAAGTCCACTCACAATGTGAATCCCATGCTAATTTTTAAAGCAGGTTTTAGGTTAGGGTTCTAGTTGCACAATGTGGAACAATGTGGAGCTTTGTGCCTTTATTAGAGGGACAGGACAGTGGATATAGTCGGACATCAGGAAGAGAGAGAGTGGGGAGTGACATGCAGGAAAGGACCCACAAGTCGGATGCCGCCCGCTTTGAGGACTATTGCCTCTGTACATAGGGAGCGCTAACTGAACGCTTGGACCCTGGTGCCCTACCAAATAAGCTTTAAATATTCCTTAAATAATATGTTACAGGCGCATGCTTATGTGGCAGGTTTGTCTATAAATGATTGACAATATTGGGGTATTAACTTAGGCTGAAGTTGAGCCTGGCATCAGTTTAAGGTTTCCTATATTTCATTTTAATAGTTATCTAAATACTTCATTTAATTTTTCTCCCATCCAAAACCAACAAGACAAAAAGGTGCTTTATCTCTGATCTATATTGTAATACAAACAATAGCTAAAAAATAATTGCATTATTTTTGTTTCTCTCTTTCTTATCCCCTTTCTTTAGCTCGCTTCGCTCCATACAAACCAGTGGACATCATGCTCAAGCCTTTGCTGTTCGAGGTGCCCAGCATCACCACGGACTCTGTGTTCGTGGGACGTGATTGGCTCTTTCAGCAGCTTGAAGATGTCCTAAAGGCCAGCAAGTCCACAGAGAACCAAGGCGCTGTAGTGGTGGGCAGCGTGGGCTACGGGAAGACGGCCATTATCTCCCGGCTAGTAGCACTGAGCTGCCACGGAGGCCGCATGCGTCAGATCGCCTCCAACAGTCCGAGTGCCTCCCCTAAAAGTAAGAAATTTTAGTATTTTCCTTCGGGTGTTTTAGTTTATGTTCTTATATTTGGAGTTCATTTTAGTTTGCAAAGTTTGGAAGTCAAGTGAAACTACATACTCTAACAATACAAATCAAAATCTTAGCAACTGCTGTGAGTTACTCAAAACTGAATACAGCACAATCTACCTTGGAACCAAGAAAGCAATTTTGCTTATGTATTATATGTGACAAAGAGTGTTCTTCTGTGTCTTCCAGATGGCGCAGGAGCAAACACAGAACTTCCTCTCAGCCAGCCACCACAGCCCACTCCACCTTCCAGTGCTACCAACACACTGAAGACCAACAGCTGCCCAGGGACGCCTGAGATACAGCGACATAGGGAGGAGGCCGTCAGACGCCTTGCTGCAAAGGTACGACTTTAGCCAAAGCATTCAAGAGAAATCACAGCGTTAAAGGAACCTGAAACGGAAGGACATTAAAGTCTCTCTCATCATAAGATATTCCTAAACTTTCATTAATATTTCAGTCAGACAATCACTTCAGTCACCTCAGAGACAAATTATTTACACAAATGCTTACTTATCTGCTTTCTATGGTTTGGTCCTCCTGTTTGTTCTTGATAGTCAGACTCTTTCTTATTCCAAAGATATTGTGGTGTGTAGAGTTGCTTTTAGTATGTATGAGATGCACTGCAGAAACCTGATACCGGCTCTGCTCAGTTGATTTATGTTGTTTGTATATGATTCATGGTTGTTTATGTTCATTTATTTGATATTCAGACGATGAAATATGGAGTGGAGGGTCTTCAGCCATCTGCTGAGATAATGAAAGACAGCCCTTGCCATTGGTCTTTGAGAGACCTTTAATATCACAGGCTTGTTTGATTTGAGAGGCAGTGTGCTTAGTTTAAGACTCGGCCATGAAACTCAAGTTCAATATTAATGTCCACAGCCTCTGAGTGCTGCAGTCTGACTGTGAGAAAGATGGAAGATAGAAAACTTTGGCTCAGGTCTTTAGCATGCCCTTTTAGCTCAAAGTTGGATGGTATTTGCATTGTGTAGCATGAGCATGGGAACAAACTACAGATATTGCCTGAATTGTTATACTAAATAGCACACTTTCTCATGCATTGCAGTCTGACATTTACTTCAGATCAGCTGTCTGCAGAAGTTCAAATATTTTAGCTCTTTACCTCATTAATATGGTTCATTCACTAAATGATTGTTGTTGTTATTAGTAGAAACGTTTCAATAAAACATTTGTAACATTTACTTGTAAAACAGAATTAGGGTACCAAGTAACAAATGGAGTACTAATTATTATGAGTGCACATTTTGGCATATTTTAGTTTCGTCACATACTTTGAACCATTTGACTGTTTTTCTGTTCTCTAATTTCTCATGTAGAGCAAAAACCTTAAAATCAAGCTTCAGTATAACTGCCAGGTAAAACAGGCAAACTGGCACTAACCAACATAAAACAGTTGAAACACACGTCAGCATTTCAATCAGCAACCCTGTCATCATTATTGTTTACACTTTTGTAAGATGGAGTTGGCATTGAAGACACAAACAGGTCCATAATTCTGAAGCAGTTTCTCCAATTATAATCCAAATTGTCAGCACTGTCCCTGTTTGAGTGTTCTCTACTTAATGCTGTTTTTGGCTCTTGGAATTTCTGCTTCAAGCTGTTTTTTTTGGTTATCTAATAATTAGCTCCACTTTTTGCGATGTTCTTTGTCAATTAGCTAATTGACTATGACAGACAGCATGTTTTGTTTATACATCAGCAGAAGTCATCTGAAACTTTCTAATGTTACATTTTATAGCCTGCTCAGTGTTTTAAAAAGATACTGTGTTAGTTTTGGATTCTCATTGCCACCCCTTTGAGCACCTTTGTGATGATGGTTTAGCTCCTGTGATGGGGGACACTACTGTCTAATGGGGTTGTTGTCATTGATCCTGTTTGTGTCCTCGTTTATTAAATATGTGTATCTTTTACGGGGTTTAATACTTTTTCCTGCCTCCTTGTTAGTGAGATGGGCACAAGACAACTGAGTGTGACTTTAGTGGTTTGCATAGCACTACCACTGGGAACACTAACATTTGTGCACCTAGCAGCTGACTTTATGCCACTGAGACTCATCTGAATGTCCATGAAGCCCGAGCAAAATCCCTCAAGCCAATTATTGTGTAAAGTGTTTCCAACAGACGCCCTCCCAGGGGCACTGTTCCTGTGATGTGTGAATACTGATGCAACACCGAGCAGCTTCTGTCAAATTCTGTCAGTTCTTTTTAATCATTTTTAATCAAGCCTTCTCATAACAGGGACACTGAGGCCATTTCATTTAATAGTTTATTGCAAGATTTTATGTCGTACCCATATGACAGGGATGAGCTTTTAGGCTTTTGCTCCTCAACATTTAATTCATTGTTGAACCAATAGATAAAGTACTGCAGGTGCACTGCAGAATATTGCATCATCATTTTTGAGATTCTTAATGCTCACTGAGGAGTCTACAGACGTGCACACTATCACTACAGTGTCTTTGTCAGGCACCTATCCAAATGTATTATTTATCACATAGAGCAGTTCACTCTGATGTACTGTTTTTATTGAGTGTAATGTTTCCCAAACAAAGCCTTCAATTTGTGTTACATTAAACACCCACATGAAGCAAGTGTCACAGGCTCTGTTGTCTACCAGACTATTGTGTTCTTTCACACATCACATCCCTGTTTGTTCTGTAACTAAACTAATATCGTACATTTTCAGTTGAGCCGTAAAGGCTTACAAAGGACATAAAAATCGCAGCCAACCAAATCCCCCACTGCAGTGTTGTATATTTCATTTAAAGGATATATGAATCAGTTGCTGCATATTTCTTTTATTTTAATTTAGCTCCAGTTCTAACACTTAGGTTTTTCTTTGATTATATACAGAGAACAATCTAAAACCATAACATTTTGTGGCAATACTTGGCTTTTGCAATCAGTATAAGGTGCTAGGATTCAGCCAGATAATATACTGACTGACTGACTGCCTTCCTGAGACAATTTCATATTAGTTTTGCAGAGGCTCATGTTCATTTTGCAGAGCATTGTGTTAGTTTTGCAGAGCCTCTTGTTAGTTTCACCAAGCCTCTTATTATTTTTTCGCTTTGAAAAGAGTTTTGTGTGGAGACATCTTGTTGAAAAATACAATATACAAGCCTCTACCTCTGGCTTTTGTTGCACTCACTCTTATGACTCACGGACTTCTCTTTGAGCACAGCCGTCATGAAGCTTTAGATTGTTGTAGAAGGTTTATTTCTACAACAGTGGAAGGGGAATGTGATTTAATTATCTTGCAATTTAACACCCACATATGAGCCTAAAACTATTGTGCTAGTTCCCACATGTGAAGCAATAACATTATGACTTGATATAAGACCTACCCAATACGTGTGATACATCGTTGTTTCCCAAATCTTCAAGTGTGAAGGCAAGTGTGCCTGCAGCTGCATGCACTTTCACATGCCTGCTGCATTTTAACAGGAATGATTTGAGTCACATATCACATATAGAGAGTCTGAACTTGTTGCAGCTAGGAATGTTATGGAAGACAAATTTACTCTCTGTGGTTTATTTTACTCTATAACAGTTTGAGGAATTTTAAATATGATTTCTGAAGGTATAATTTTGGAGAAAGTAGGCTTTAGTAACTTTTCCAGAAGCTGGTCATCGTTGTTGATGCAAGATGCAGCATCCTGCAGAGGAACAGGTCTCCTGCTCCTGCTGCACCTTTAAGTGTGTCAGCTCCTCCAGGTTGGACTGTAATTAGAACAGAGCCAAACATCCCCAGGGCATCTCTCTTTCCTTCTTCATCCCTGTCCCTCCTTTTACCTTCTAAATCAGACCTTTTCTGAGCACTGCAACACCCCGTTCACACACATGCACACACACACAAGATCCTTCTTTTAGTCCTCCACCTGGGATCTACCTTCTCCTTTTTATAGTAGAGTTTATCTGAGGTGGTCAGCCATCGCCAATGTTTGGACAAATTCAATGTTCTCTACTTGATCAAGGGATAAAATGTAAATCTATAGGGATATGAATATAAAAAGGCATCAGATACAGAACTGTAAAATGGAACAGAGTTAGTTTTTTGTCAAGAAAGGCTGTTGGCATTTAGCAGATACTTTGAGGTTACTGAATGTTCCCTACTTTGCATGTCTTTCATTGCTAGAGACAAACTAGTTAACACAATGGAATTGTTACTTTTTAAAATTATTTTAAACTCTGACATAACTCTTATTTTGTCTTTTTTTTTTCTCCTCTGTGTTTTAGGTGGCTGCATACCATTACTGCCAGGCAGATAACACGTACACTTGCCTGGTACCAGAGTTTGTACATAGCATTGCTGCCCTGCTGTGCAGAGCACACCAACTCAGTGCGTACCGGGAGCTGCTGTTGAAAGAGCCAAACCTACAGAGCATGCTCAGTCTGCGCTCCTGTGTGCAGGACCCCATGGCTGCTTTTCGGAGGGGGGTCCTTGAGCCACTGGTCAACCTGCGTAAAGGTAAAGCAACATTGAATGAAATGTAATAGTTGAAGACTTCCTCTGTTGTGCTTGAAAAAGAAAAAAATCTTGTTTTTTTAACATTAAAAAGTTGCTTCTCATTCACTGTACTCGTGTAACATGGTATGGGAAAAGTTTTACTAATGGCAAAACACTTATCCTACTAGCTATAGGTACTGACAGACATACGTATCACTACATGACTTAAATGAAAATAATAAACTAATTTATTCTACATAAAAACACTGTTAATAAATATATCTATGACCCACCTAATAAGATTTGATAAACCAAGTAGAGATCTATAATAGTGTCAGAATCAGTGTCATTTTTGTAACCCTACCTGCTTCAAAAACGTGTCCTCTTCTTCTCTTTTCCTTTAGTTTAGGCTGCTTGAGTTGCTTCTGGCAAAAGACTCAACAGGCTAACTGTTATGTGATGATCAAATTTAAATTAAGTATTTATTTGATTTGCTGTGCCATAAAGAAAGACTTTATCCTAGGGAAGTCTTAGAATACTTTTATATGTTTGATCAAATACATAAAAAGGAATCCTCTGCAAGATGAAAGTATTACCTGCTTTTCTTTTCAGAGCAAGTGTACCTCAACATTTTTGTTGAGAGTTAAGTGAGCACTGGCTGTGTAGTTAGGGATTCTAAGTTAAGGTCCTTTAAAAAGGCTTCAGTAAGAGTATATAAACAAAGCTGTCTGCATACCCACTACAAGCATACTCACTTTAGTCAGTGTTGTCATGTATTCTATCTCACTGCAAATGTTGTGTGTGTTTCTAGAGAGGAAGATTCCTGAGGAGGACCACATCATCTTGATAGACGGGCTGAACGAAGCTGAGTTCCATAAACCTGACTACGGAGACACCATTGCCTCCTTCATCACAAAGATCATTACCAAGTTCCCACCCTGGCTTAAACTAGTGGTCACTGTCCGGGTCAATTTACTGGTGAGGAAGACTTCAGTATCATGAGCTGCCATCAGCTTATAGATTCTGACAATCTTAAAAGTTAGGTTTTCCCAATCTGCTCCAACTTGTCATTCTCTGCTCTCTGCAGTCATTTTACAAGGAAGTATATGTGACCCCAGAATCAGAACTGCATGACAGTATAGAAGCAGTCAGTCACTTTGAGCTGACTAGCTTACAGCAAAAGTGACACCAGGGTGACTAGTCACAGAGATGTGCTCAGCTGGGGGTTGAACTCACACTGTGGATAGCTGGTGGTTTGACATGCCTGTAGTGTCACACAACAGCAGCTTTTCTTTGCTGGACAAACTGTGAGCCTGGGATGATAATGTAAAAGCTGACTGACATCCAAGATTCAGTTGTTAATGCTCTGGCAGAAGCAATGTGTAGGTAGTGATCATCAGTATGCAATACTCAAACCAAATTCATTTGTTTGATCCTGCAACTGTGAGGCAGGATTATATTCAGTTCATGTGGAGGTTCTCTGGATGGGCTACATCAATACATAACTCTGTAACTGTGACATTTTGTATTCTGCCTTTATATATTCACCTACATTTATTCATCAGGATAAGTCAAAAGCGTTGCAAGGTTTTTTTTTCGGATGACGCAGTTCACTGCAAAAAATACAATTTGCTGAAAACATTCCTGTCAAATGTCTGACTGACACATGGAATTCAGATTTTTATATTAAAGTGAATGTACATGTCACAATGTCCGAGTTAGTAGCAGATAACTAGGATGAAACACTCAAAGGAAGCCATGAAACAATACTGCTCACTTTGCTGTCCTAGCATCATATCTGTGCATGCAAGTGTTATTAAAGTTTCACAGTTTTGTTTTGCACTTTGTGCAAACAAATAGGATTTCACCCTGGAGGACAGGTCTTCAAGATATCAGCCTTAGCTTGCTAGACTAATATCTGATATATCTGTGAGGTGTTGCTAGCACTTCATCCACCTCTGGGATTAGGATCAGTGACTCTGTGCATGTGTGGATACGCGCGTGTGTGTGTGTGTGTGTGTGTGTGTGTGTGTGTTTACTGTACCTTTTCATGATGAAGAAGAGAAAAGTGTTATCTCCCTGAGGCAATGTTTATTTAGCCTCAGACAGTCAAAGGATTGGAGGATTAAGGTGCATTGATTTCTCCAAGCCACAGGACATAGATTGAAATGTGAGCTCAGGTTCAGATCTTTGCTAGAAGTGTTTCCCCCCACCATCCCATCCGCCCCCTGCCTCTTAATACTCACTTCTCCAGTCCTGTATTTGTCATAGCCACATTTCCGACAGTTACTGTCTGCTTTGGCCTGATAGATGTGCATGTTCGCTCCCCTATCATTCAAAAAGAGTTTTAATAGTAAACACAGGAGAAAAGGAAACATGCAGTCAGCAACAGGTCTCGTATGTGTCTGTTGCTGTGATAAGTAATACAATTTATTTTGAGACACTAGCTAGAAAATAACTTATTGTCATTCAGGTGTCGAGATGCAACATGCATCACTGCATGAATCCTGAAATATCATTTTTTAATGTGTCATTGACGGTCTTTACTTGTCTTTTCTGTAGGAGATCACCAGCCTTTTGCCCTTCTCCAAGATCTCCCTTGATGACTTTACAGACAACAAAGAGATAAGCAACGACCTCAACGCTTACATCCAGTACCGTATCAATGGCAGCAAGGATATCATGAACAACATAAGCCTGAATGGCAAGGCTGACCCTATCACAGTAGGCAAGCTCAGCAGCCACCTGATCTCACGCAGCCAAGGCTCCTACCTGTACCTGAAACTGACCCTGGATCTGTTTGAGAGAGGACACCTGGTGATTAAAAGTGCCAGCTACAAAGTGGTCCCCGTCTCTCTGGCTGAGCTCTACCAGCTACAGTGCAATATGAAGTTCATGACCAATTCAGCCTTCGAGCGCTCACTGCCAATCCTCAATGTGGCGCTCGCCTCACTGCACCCCATGACTGACGAACAGCTGTTCCACGCCATCAACGCCGGCTTCATGCAAGGGGAACTGCCATGGGAGGACTTCACACAACGCATGGACTTGCTCTCATGCTTCCTCATCAAACGCAGGGACAAGACGCGCATGTTCTGTCACCCCTCCTTCAGGGAGTGGTTGGTGTGGCGAGCTGACGGAGAGAGTACAGACTTCCTCTGTGACCCCAGGTTAGTCCTCTGCTTTGCAAGCAAATGCAGTAACTCAGCAGCTCTCCCTTTAGGAATGTTTGCTACTAATCCAGTTATAAAGAGTCTCAGATGCATCTAGAAAGGGATTTTGCAACACATTAAAATTAGAATTTAAAAATCTGTAGAAAAGAACAAATCAAGCTTTGATGATGATAAAATATTTGTCATTTGAGTGCCAACAATATCTCACTCACATGCTTAATAAACAACCATTAATTATTACTTTCAGAGTGGTTCTGAATTGAGTTGTTAATAGTATGTGAGTCACTGCCATCACTATGCATGAGAAGTAAACATGAGAGACGGCAAGTAGAATGTCCTCATCAAAATGTGCAGCATGACGCATGTCTGAGTCACAGAGGAAATTGAGTCTGAGATGTTCCAGGTATTTGTCTTAATCAGAAGGACCCACTATTTATAATACCGTGGCTAATGCCGTGCATTCCATCTTTTTATTTTGTTACTAGCAAACAATTCACAAGGAAACTACTTACATACACAGATCCCTGCGTCAGATGGATTAAATTAATTTCCATTAAAAAACAGAAGCTAACAAATAAGTCTCTCTAGCTGGATTTCTGCAGAATATAAAAGAAAAGCTTCATGTCACATTAAATATATTCATAATTTATTTAGCAAAAGTCATAGAAAAGAAAATATATTAGAAATTTACCTTTCAATCAGTCATCTGTAAAATAATGTTTCAAAACTGTTTTCACCTTTCTTTTTTCTTTTTGATATCATATAAGCTTAATGCACATATGTGAAGCCAGCATTTTATTCCACTTGAGTTGGAATGAATTTTCAGGAGTCTAATCTGTAGAAAAATGATCATTGTTCTCCTCTGTGCCCTTCTTGCCCTGTGAGACAGGCTTATCTGCTTTAGTGGTGCTACCTAATTGTAATTCTGGAGCCCTCACTCACCCACATCACAGGCTTCACTCATTCAAACTTAATAAATTGGATGATGTCATCCTGTTGCTCATCAGTATCACCTCTGCGCACACAGCAGTGTCTTTTAAATGGACCCAAGCCTAGCTTCATATTCTGGTCATTCACAGCCCTCCAACTCTGTCATTAAAAGAAAAACAAAGGCTCAGAGTCTGGCACAGGGAATGCACATGCACACAAAAGCCTGCTGCACTGCCTCTCTGTTTGTGTCTGGGCACGACGAGAGAGAATTTATAAGGCAGATCAAAGTGATCTGCAATCATGCATGTCCTTTTAATGAATTCTGCATTAATTAACAGCTGAGTGTCTGAGTGGAGAAGGAAGGGAACCCAGGGGTTTAACACTATTCCCCACCCTTCAGTGGGGCATTGCTCAGCATTTTACAACATCTTATGTACACAAGCACAGAATAAAAGCTTCACTATGACAATGTCAAGGTGCATTCATGAGTTTTATAATGAGACCGGAGGATAAACACTGAATGCATCAGTAGAGTCTACCCTGAGGTGGAAACCTTTTATGAACATGAAGTTCTACACAACAACTTCTGTCTACTAGTCTATTGTTTTTACTCTATTTGTTACCTATTTTGTTTTGCATCTGAGTATCCTCGTCGTTGTTTCCTAACCTCAGGACGGGCCATGCTCTTATGGCCTTCATGCTCTCCCGCCAAGAGGGGAAACTCAATCGTCAGCAGACCATGGAACTGGGACATCACATCCTCAAAGCCCACATCTTCAAGGTACAATTTGGGAAACATAAACATGCTCTCTACATTTATCTTAGTTTGAATCTATCACAGATGTCCATGTTGTTCTCTCTGTGTTATGAATGTATCGTGTGAGCTTAGTTCACCCAAGGATAAGCTATGAGATGTGAAGAAAAGCACTGACAGCTTCTGCGTCTCAGGTTCAGTGACTTGACGTATGTGTGTTTTTTTGCATTCATGTATGCATTGGTTTGTGTGTGTGTGTGTGTGTGTGTGTGTGTGTGTGTGTGGATGCAGGGCCTGAGTAAGAAAACAGGTGTGTCATCCAGTGTGCTGCAGGCTCTGTGGATAAGCTGCAGCGCCGACGGCCTTTCTGCAGCCCTGGCCTCCCTGAGGAATCTTTACACACCAAACGTCAAGGTAAATATGCTTTCCAGCTTTTGTGCGTCACATGACCTTAAATTGGGGAAAACCGGGGCCCGACTGATATGGGATTTTTGGGTCCTATACCAATATCAATATTAGGTAGAGAAACAAATCTGATACAGATAAAGCGGCCCATATCTTTTCCAATATCTATCTTCAATCTGTCGAGATAGACAGTTATAGATATACACATTTATTGTGTTGATCCCTCAAATGAAGTTATCAAACACTTGTGGAGAAGATAGAAAATGAAAAGATGATCACTCAACTGGAAAGTAACTGCGCACACGTGGTTCCAGCCATTCACTCAATCCACGGTCCTAATTTATCTTTAGGTTTGGAGTTTAATGCTTCACCTCAAATATGTCCAATTTTTTTCCAGTCTAATTTTATAAATCATTTATAAATTGTTATTTCCCTCATTATTCATAAGCATTTATTATCCACAGCACCCTATATTTGACATTTCACACTGTATGTCTTATTTCTTGTTATATTCATTCAGCGTTTATTTGAAGACGAGGAAGAGAAAAGACAGTATTTGAAAAAGACACACACACACAGATTGCATCTTTGGCAGATTCTCATATCATGTATTAATTGTAGCTGAGTCATCTCTCCAGACTAAAATAGTCAGTTGCTCATTTTGCACAGTGATTAGGCAATAATTTATCAGATATTGCCTAGGGATATTAATATTTTGTATGAGCAACACGGAAAATGAAAAATGATTGCAGGAAATTGGGAAGTAGATATTGATGAAGTGTGTGCCACGATGAGTAAAATAGGAAACATGTTGAGTTAACAGGTCAGCGCAGATGAATGGGGGACAGAAATGTATTTTTGTTTTAGTTTGAGTATGAATTATTTAACTCTTTTTTATTCAGATATTCAGTCAGACATTTGACTCTTGATTTGTTTTTGTTTGCGCTCCATGTTGGGAAATGAACTTTTCATGTCGCTTGTTTGTCAACTACCAGTCCAAGTGAAGTCAGCTTTAGTGTCTATTGAATGTTTTGTGGGGGAGAACATCATCAACCCTCCCTGGAAAGACCATTATGTTGACACCAAATGATCCTACATTGTTCCTCATCCTCATTCTTTATCTGTGTGTGTTTTATTTTGTGCAAGTGTAAGTTAACTTGTGGACATTTGCAGAATGACCTTGTTATGTCCTCCGAGGAAAACAGCTGTTAATTTATTTCACAGTGAATCCAACAAATAACAGAGAATTTCATTTCCTGTTGTGCCGTGCTCATTTGGCACCGTGGTTCAGTTTGACCAGGCATTTATTATTGATTTCCTCATCGTGGAAGAGAATAACTCGCCTAATAATTGCATTCAGTAGAATGTGACCACTTCATTTGGTTTCTGACCTTTTGCTTGATAGCAAAATCTCCAGAGTAGGCTGAAGCAACACTAGCATTTGCACTGGAATGAGCTAGAAGAGGAAAATGAAGTGTATCTCAGATTCTGCTGCTGTTTAAATTACTCATTGGCCACGGTGTCCACAAATCCTTGAACCCATGTACTGGAAAAGTTTGTTTTTGCTCCACATTTTGTTGAACAAACTTGTTGTCTGTTACTTCATTTTAAGCTCTAGTCAAGATATCACAATCCTTTCTTATATATCTGTGAAGGTCATCACAGAATTTAAAAAAAGGGCGAAGAGCCACAAATGATTCAGATGATCCTCCTGGTTAATACTATATAAATATCCATTATTCTGTCATCTTGATTTTCCATTTTGTCATTCTAAAAGTTTAGTCTATTCTGTACACAGGACATGTTGCATTTCTGTCCATCCTTTCAGAGATACTTTCTCTATTTTCCCATTTTTAGGGGGGGGGGGTTACCATCTTCCAGATTCAGGGTGTTGCTTACGAAACACATCATAAAGCAGCTTGTCATGTTGATATTTGGCTATATAAATATAATTGATTAATAAAGGGAACTTTTTCATTTGGACATAACAGCATGGCACCATGTTGATGTCTTTTTTTCCCCACACTCATTTTCGCCGTGACGTCAATCTTAAGATCAGATCAAAGAAAATATAAAAAGGCGTCTTTTACAGTGTTATATAAGAGGGCTTATGAAAATAATAAAAACAGTTGTTTACTGATCACACAAGCTCACAGATGGCACTACTTTGATAACATGTTTCCAAGCCATCTGGATCACTTTGCATTTCTTTTGTACATCAGGTGAGCCGGCTGCTGATGCTGGGTGGGGCAAACGTCAATTACCGCACCGAGGTGTTAAACAACGCTCCAGTACTCTGTGTCCAGTGTCACCTTGGCCACCTGGAAATCGCCTCTCTGCTGCTCGAGTATGGGGCTAGCGTTGACGTGGTGTCTGAAAATGGCATGAGCCCACTTTGCTTTTCAGCTGCCGCGGGACATTTGAGTCTGGTCATGCTGCTCTGCAAGAGAGGTGCTATGGTGAGGAGTCACAGACATTTCTTACCTCCTTTGTGCTAAACGTAGTGCAAAGTCATGTTTCAACGCACATGTGTTGGATACATTTTCCATGTTTTGGTGCATGAAAACTTACCTGATTGTATTTCCTCCAGGTTGATCATGTAGATAAGAGTGGTCAGTGTGCACTCGTCCATGCTGCGCTCAGAGGACACCCAGAGATTATCCAGTACCTACTGGACCTAGAGTGGAGTGCTGAGGGGCAGCAGCAGGACTGCACTCTGAAGAACAAAGCTCTGCAGCAGGCTTTAATAGCAGCCTCCAGCATGGGACACACACAGGTACCAATAACACAGATATTTTTGCACACAGCCAACCTTATAGCACTAGTTCTGTTACACCTGAAAACGTAACATAATGAGTGAACCTGAGGGTATAATAAAGACACTCATGAGGTTATGTGATTTTTATTAATCTTTTCCTCACTAAAACAAGAATAAGAAACTGAGGTTTGCAAATTTTCACTCCACATTAAATACAAAACAAACATTTTTCTGTGGGAGTTTTCTAAACCATCCTCCATCGACAGCTTTAGAGAGTAGAGGTCACAACAGGTAAAGTGTGAACACATCTTCTCTCTGGTGTCGATGACTTAAAATTCTAAAAGTTACTCGGACTTGTAATCTCAGAAAGAAGGATTTGGGGATCGATCCCAGCGCAGCGCTTCGGCTGCCCAGGTACAACGCAGGCTCAAGGTTTATTTTGGCTTCCGCAGTAGTTGGAATGGGATCTAGAGACCCAGCTTGGAATAACAGATCTGGGCCAGGCTCGGCTATCCACATTTTGAAGGAGACCCCTTTAAAGTCAGATAATAAATCAGCTTGGACTCACATAACCTCAGACAGAAGCTGAGGGGGCCATAGTCTAGTCTGCTGTGATTAATTCATAATATTGTACTGAGAAAGCAGAACACAATTTCTTTCGTTATCCTCTTTGAAAACGATGTGTGTTGTATATGCTCTTGGAGGTTTATTTGATATCTTATGCTGAAATAGTATGCCATTAATCTAAGTTTCTTTTTTGGCAGGTTGTGAGAGGCTTGCTGGCATTGAATAATGAGCATGCTGTGCAAATTGATAGCCATGACACTCTGTGGGGAGAGACAGGTATGTTTTCATCCATCTTTCTGCATTACGTTGCTCCCTGGTATCATCACTTGCTGGTTTTTTTTTTTTGCATTCTGGACCTCACTGCTGTGATTGCACGCTACAGCTGAAGGTCTTGTATCTCTCGTCTGCACAGCAAAGCTCTCTGTTTGATGTAGAGGTCACTCAACCCCAATGCCTGTGCTTTTTTATGACTGCTCCAAGTTTTCCTGGGATGTACTTTCTGCTAAAAGCATTACTTATTGTGGGTCATGTGTGTTTCTACTTAGAGTTTGGAAAACACAGCATTTCCTCTGAAAATTAGATTTTCCAACATGCTTATAGATGTCAGCTTCATTTCTTTTAGTGCTCTTTGTTAAGAAACAGTTTGAAGTTACTTAAATATCTCCTGCATACATCTCAGCTCACATTGAATTTTAGTAGGCATGGAGAATCATCGCCGCTGTCATCTTTGTTTGTAGTCTTATTTTAATCAATATATTCAGTTGTTGATTTTAGTTGAATCAGTGTTTCTTCTGAGAAGGTTTTCAGTATACTCTTAAGGATTGGCTTCTGCCTGATTGAAGGAAAGTGATGGCAGTAAGAGTGAAACAGAGTTTGCTTGTCAGGAATAGATGATGTAGACGGTAGCTGTTGTTACTGGCCTCTTTAAACCATTTGAGATCTTTGGAGTAAATGATACAAAAAGCAGGACATGTCTGTACACATGAAGAGGTGACGCATTAATGTAGCTTTCCATTCAAGTCCTTTTCAATGTGCTCAGTGAAGAAAATGAATAACAGAAACGCTTCTTATTGTAACCAGTTAAAGTGCTAAAAAATATTGCTGCTTCGTTTTGTAAGTATCAGGTGCATCATGCTGCGTTCGAGTTTCACTTTTCTCGCCTGATGTGTCCGACTCTTTTGAAACGTCTCTTATCTTCAATCTGAGCATTTGCTTTGAGTCTTTCCTGATCCAGAGGCTATAAATGTTCAAATTGCATCCCCTTCCTCTTTGACAACATCATCTGATGCTTTTATTTTTTTGCACAGAATCACACCAAAATACATTTTTACATAATAAGATTTATAATAATAGTCTCTTTGTGTCTGTGAGGCAGCTGGAATTCGCACTCAAAGTTTGGTGCTTCAGGAATGTAGGTCAGCCTATTAGTGGAGAGGCGGTCCACAGTGTGGTTAGCTTGTGTCCTGCTAAACCACTGCAGGACTTCACACTCATTGCAGTCCTGGGACAAAGAGTTGTCTCTGAAATATTCCTGCATGGAGTTGCTGTTCTGTTTTTCTTCTCCTATGACCAGAATCTGTATTGAGCTGCAAACTAAAAAACCTGCTTTCTTGTTATTGGAAACATAATACATTTATCCAAAGCTTTACACCTTATAACTTGGTTACTTTGGACATGACTACTGCTGAGAATCATAGTTATCACACTTTCATTAACATTAGAGCTCCCTGTGCTGCAGTATGTCCTCCTCAGATCCATTTACCTCCTGATCAGTCTTCTACAATGAAGTATAAAGTCACAGGTAGTAATAGAAAAGATGCTGAGCGCCTCAACTGACCTTTGACATGACCAGGTATTCCATGTTTTTGCACCCACCTGCTTATCTGCTGTCAGGGGAAATAAGTTTGTATAAAGAGAAAATAAATGACATAACAGTTTTTTTGTACACTAATTCATATCATGATTGAAAAACAAAATAGTGTTGTACTGGATTAGTGATAAAGATGAAGCATCGTAGGAGTGTTGAAGCTGACAGTAATGACTATCTTTGTTGTTGCTGGATGGAAACAGCAGAAATTAGAGATATATTACATTTCAGTTTCACCTCAAATCCCCTCTCTGCCATTTAGCGTGCAGATTTAATAATCCAAACTGGTAGCTGATCTGATTCAGAGAAAACAGACAAAGCTCATGAGTTATCCCCCTCAGAACTGCCCGCTCATGGCTGCCTCTGAAACAATTCTCAGATAACAACCTGTTTCTGTGGAAATGCATTTCATGTTTAAAATTCATCACAATATGACTTGTCTGTGCAAACAGGCCCACAGTGTGTCCGGTGTTCAAATAGAGACGGATTGGACGCACATCTTGGCAAGCTCAAGCTACTAAAATCCCTTCTTAGAATGCAAAACTCTTCCTCGTTATGCAAAGAAAGGTGATTTATCAGCACAGAGGTTCTTGTTGTGACAAACACACAGCAGAAGAAATGGCTCAATGTAGAGACCAACGTGGTCTTATGTTGCAGTACAATAAGCTTTAGTAAATATTTTAATGATAGATGTTGTTTCTATCCCATGGTGTAAAAAGAGGATGGGCCATTCTCTAGCATTTTATGAGGCATAAAAAAACAACATAACATTTAAAAAAATATCTGAAGCCAAGTGTTCCTTCTGTTCAGTGTTTATATTATTCATGTCAGCTGTTGTCGTTGCTAAAATTCCTTTAAATGGCACGATATTAATTTTAATGCATTAAAAAGAAACACTTTTGGAACAGAACATTTATTCCTCATGGTTTACTTGTATATGTGTTGGGCTCATGTGCTCCTGCTGAAGCACATTTTATTCCATGCTCCACGAAACATGAAGCTAAGGGAACGCTCTAAAGATAGGGAAAGATAGCTGCCAATTACTCTCACCAGTAAGAATGGCTTAAATACCTTTTGAAGTGGTTCTTTATACATATTAAGATTGCAAGTGTTGGTGCTGTATGGTCAGAGCACGGTGTGAGGTAACAGGCAGCTATTTGTGGCTCTGCTCTGGAGCCTGGGGAAAAGATGCTTTTTATTCTTACATCAAGTGACAAACACCTGCTTTTAAAGTGTGTGCTCTAAAAGCACCTCAGTGTTTACTGCTTTCTGTTCGGCAAATTCATCTCCATTAGCTTTATTTATGAGCAAGATTCTTCAGGCCAACTATCATGCATGTAACAGACAGATATCCTATAAATAAAGACATGCATGTAAACAAATGTTCTAGCAGACACTTTATTAACTACAGGAAATGTGGCTCCCAGCTTGTCACAAATTCCTTTCCTCCTAGTGGAGCAGTTAAATGAAGAATAAACTTGTAGGCCATTGAATTAAAAATGTTGTGCACAGATGTGGAGGCAAGTGTGTGCTCAGTAGAAATGCATTTCTTATGTAATTGAGCATCTGCTAAGTCCCCAGGCAAAGCAAACTTGTAATTTTACAAATAGCAATCAATGGTTGTGCTGCCTTTTAAACGTCCTCCAACAGGACTAAAATGAATGAATTGTATGCGGAACGATGTGACTAAGTACTGTAGCATAAGAAATCATAGCAAAGCCAAAGATTACAAACTTTGGTTACACAATCTTCAAAGTGTTCTTGTTGGTAGAAAGTTTCAGGTTGGTTAATCTGCAAAGCTTTGGCTTTAATGCAATGTCACAACCTCTTGGTGGTGTGTCTCCAGCTGGGCGTTGAAGTGATGCTTGATAAGGACATAATTATGTGTTTGCTTTGTAAATCTGTTTATCAGACAGTGATTTAGAGCTTCCTGCTAAAACACTGACAAAGTCGCTTTAGGTGGGCTAAGAGAGCAGGCACAGCAGATTTGACACATGGCTGATAAATAGCTTAGAAATATTAGATATGATAGAGCCAAGACTTTATTAATAGAAACTAAAGCGATGTAGAAAATGGATCTCTTTCTCAGGAGAGCAGCATAGCTGAAATGTTTGAGTGTTGACTGAAAAGTTTGTGAGATTTCTACATGGTAATAAATCAATTTGGCCCAAGGATGAGGGACCAGCACTCCACATGCAGATCTTCAAAGAATAAAATGAAACAACAACAGTACACATGTTGATACCATTACAGATGTCACCATCCACCAGCACAGGTGCTACTGATGTTGCTCCCCGGAGCACAAACTGAGCCTAAGTTTATCTGTGTGGACTCATTGTCTTTACTTTGCTGGGTGTAAGGATATCCATATTTAGAGCAGATGGAGGGTGGGGCTGTTTGGCTCTGATGACTGTTTATCCAGATGGATGATGTCAGTCAGATACTGAGGCTCAGCAGCACCTTAAATCTCTGAGGTGACTGTGAGAGCAGAGCTGCTCTGCTTCTTACGCTGGATCTCACTTTGTTTTGACAACCAGCGCTCATTTAAGACCGGCCCATCTGCTGCTTTATACACCAGCAGCCGCTGATAAACTGTGAGCGTCGAACATTTAAAGACGTCGTCTTTGTTTTCTTCACAGACTGAAATACCATCACCAATTCATACTTGTTTGTTTCTTTTTCTTTTGATAAAAATGAATTAGACACAGTTAAATCCTGCTCATCCCAGTCTGACAAAGACACAAAATATAAACAAGGATGGGTGTTGAACGGAATTGTTTGACTTTGTTGTCTAATGTTTGTCTTCCGATGCATAAAATGTCTGAATCTCTCTGAGAAAGGCCAGGGGAGCTTGAGGCAGGATTTTAATGAGTTTAATAAGCATTACATAATTGTCTGTTTTGAAACTCAATTAGCACCAAACAGCTGAAATTTCTCTGCTTATCTTTGCTCTGTGAAGGATTTATGGATCGTAAACACTGTTTATACCAGCCATTCATTTCCATTAACGTATCCTAAAGACCCTTTCTGAATGTTTCTCATGGACAGCACAGGCCTCTGGGTGCTCTACATGTAATCAGGTTCTCTAGTACACAAATACAATTTAAATTAATTAAGACAAATATATAGAAATATTTCCCCCATTATTGTAAAAATGTAAACAAATAATAGTTCAAAAAACCATACCATTAAGTGAAACGAGTTAGAGATACATTAGGGTGAGTTTGCACATGACTGCAACAATGTAGATGTCTGATGTACACAAAAACAAGCACACACCAGTGGGTCATTTTTTCAGTGTTGCTTGTCCACTAAGTCTATACATGGAAATGACTTACTGTATATTCTGCTTCAAGCCTTTCTAACAGTAAATTAGAATTAAATATCATTGTATGGCTTTTAGGCTGCTCTATTATTTTGTGTTGCCATTGTTTGGATAGACTTAATAGTAAGTGTGCATGGTGGTGTGCTACGTTATAACTTGACAACCTCCAGAGACAGTGGGGGTCAGGAGCTGGAAAGTTTGGGAACCCAATCTCTAGTGATCTTTCTCTAGTGTCCTCTTCGACCAAGTCTTGCTTTGCTGCATACTTACCTTAATTTGTGTTTCTGTTCAAATCTACATAAAGAATTCAAGCCTACATCAGCCCTAACATCAATGTGGGTTTTTCACCCCTCTCACCTCTCTTCAGCTTTGACGGCAGCAGCAGGTCGAGGGAAGTTGGAAGTTTGCAGCTTCCTGTTGGAGCAGGGGGCGGTGGTGCAGCAGGTCAACAGGCGAGGGGTGTCTCCTCTTTTCTGTGCCGTCAGACAGGGACACTGGCAGGTAAGACATTCTGGATTGCCCCCCCCAGCTCCACACCTTCATATTTTCTTATTCTAAATCTTCATACAGTGGAGGATATTTAATTTTTGTGCAGTATACTGTATATGTTCTTATCTATGAGCTGACTGTGATCTGTCTCCTGACACAGGGTCATGTTGAACTCAACTGTTGTGTGAGCTCTGCTTCTGCTTGTTGTCTGTTCTCCAGATTGCAGAACTGCTGTTGCAGCACGGTGCTGACATCAACATCAGCGACAAGCAGGGCAGGACCCTTCTGATGGTGGCTGCCTGTGAGGGTCACTTGAGCACTGTAGAGTTTCTGCTTTCTAAAAGTGAGCGACACATTACCACCTCCAAACAGCCACCATTAACCTTGATCACCATGAAAGTAAAAGTTGCTCATTAGCTGGATTAAATTAACACGTCAATTCAAAGTGTTTACTTATTGTTGTTGTTTGTCTCAAAGGTGCATCTTTGATTTCGATGGACAAAGAGGGGCTCACACCCCTGAGCTGGGCATGTTTAAAAGGACATAAGAACGTTGTGCAGTTTTTGGTGGAGAAAGGTGCAGTCATAGACCACACGGACAAAAACGGACGGACTCCGCTGGACCTCGCTGCTTTCTATGGAGACGCAGAGATTGTAAGTGAAAAATAAGTTTGCATTTGCTGAAATGTCCCAACACACACAGACACCACTGTCTTTTTTAGCCTTAACTGAGAGTCTCTGTTCAATTATTGAGCACATAATGTTGTGCGTGAGCCGGGCTCCTGGCTGACAACACACTGTTTATAGGTTTTAAACTGCTGCTGTCATGCAGGTCCAGTATTTGGTGGAGAGAGGAGCAGTGATAGAGCATGTGGACTTCAGTGGGATGAGGCCTCTGGACCGGGCCATAGGCTGTCGAAACACATCGGTGGTGGTGACTCTGCTGAAGAAAGGGGCCAAGCTGGGTAAGCACTTACAAAGAGCTATTTATTTTGAGTTAATATACTATTGTGTGCAGTTAGTGCTGTCAGTCAGACTGTAGAAGTGGTTGTCCTGAGGTCCCTTTAAGCAGCCCGAGGTCTGCAGATTTTCTTCACGTCTCAGTGAACACAGAGACTCTGCCATTTATTTTTACCACCGTTTTTGTCTTGCCTAATAGCTCATGGTGTTTAAATACAAAACAAACTTTCATTTCACTCTCATTTTATGGAATGTCATGGAAAACTCTGTTTCTATTCCTGCTTCTCACTCATTCTGGTATGTCTGTGCATGTGCATGTCCTTCCTGTTCTCCCTCACATGCTTCTTTGCTAATTTAAGAATGTAACTTCTCACTTAAATGACATTCACAGAGCTATCTGCACGCCTTAACTGCAGTGCACTCTGCTGTCTAAGGCAAAAAAAAGTAACAGCCAGAACATCTAACTTTTTCTTTCAGCACAGTTAACAGTCTGCATGCATTTACAAGGGCATCTGAGGGACACATAATTGTGTACTGTCACACTTCACTCTGTGGCACATTTTCCTTTCACTACAGATGACTTCTCTCACTGTTGCATGACCTCTTTTCTCTTCACTCTTTCCCTCCTAACTCCCTCACTGCCTTCACTAAACTAAGGCCACAGAACGTCTCCTTACGATCGATCAGGTACAATCTTTAGGTAACTTTACCTTGTACCAAATTCCAGAGAATACACTGACTGTCTCTTGGCCCCATTTACAACAATGTTAACAAGCCATTTTGTTCATTCTGTCTCCACAGGAAATGCTGCTTGGGCCATGGCTACGTCAAAGCCTGATATACTCATCATCCTCCTGCAGAAGCTGATGGAGGAGGGGAATCTACTTTACAAGGTAAATGTGGAAAGAAAATAACATACTGTCAACTTAAAGAAGCAGTCTCTTGGGTTTATGCATAGTTCATTCAGCTTCACTTACCAACTGTGCTAACATACACACATGTAGCCTGAGTTACATTAGATGTTATCTTGGGTTTTATTTATATAAGGAAATCAAAAACTGATAAGATGGAAGTGATTTCCATCTGTTTGTAGCTCAGCTAAAGGCAGAACATAAATAGATCTCTATGTTCTGCACCACTCACCAAAGCAGCCGTGATCGATGCCTGACATTTAACAGATTGAGTTTGTGGCAGAAAGGACAAACATGTCAGGTATTACGCGTGTGTGTGCGCGTGAGATTTTGATTTGAGCTTGCCTGTGTGTCGAATGTGTGATTGATGAGAAGAGAGGGGCTCAAGCAAAAGAAACAGCTCTTGTGGTTGAGTACCTTGCCCTGTTTCTCTCACCCAAATGATTCCTTCTGCTTCTTTCCCTCTCTGCTTGTTTGCCCTCCACGTGTCCTCCAGAAAGGGAAGATGAAAGAGGCGGCCCAGAGGTATCAGTACGCCCTGAGGAAGTTTCCTAGAGAAGGCTTTGGAGATGACCTGAAGGCATTTAAAGACCTCAGGGTCTCTCTGTATCTCAATCTCTCCCGCTGTCGCAGAAAAACCAACGTAAGCCTCTCTAGAGACACCCTACTTTCTTTTTCCTTTGTTCATCAGCCAGTGCTGTATTTTTAGCCTTTATCCTTTAATGGCTTTAAATAAGCCACTTCAGTCACTAGACTTTTATTTGTCTGTGTAATGAATATCACGGGGCATCATTAAATTAATATTTACTGGGGAGGGGGGGGATACTCTGTGAAGTATCTCCAATTGTTTTAAAATAGTTTTAGACAAAAAGTGAAATCTGTGAGCGATGGTGAGAGCCTGTGTGGGCAGGAGGAGCATGTTAATGTTCAGATGGCACCAGGCAGGAGGTGGAGAGAGAGCTGCATGCTACATGCAATATCGGCTCCTGAATGTGCCAGCCTGTCTGCTCACTTTAACTCTGCTGAGCAGTAGTGCATCTTTCTGTTCAGGTTTTTACCCAATGTTTTAACACACTGATGAATTAGTACATAGTTACATAGTCATAGTTACTACTTGAGAAAGACAAGCTGTTGAACTCTCCAATGTCTGAATCATTGTCTCCACATAGATGCTCTTCATCAAACTTTGTTAATAAAAGACTAATGACTTAACAACTTAACTTATTATTTGATACAGGGAGCATTATAGTTGGAGATGTTGGGTGGGTCAAATTTAGCCTTTGACAATACATTAAGAACGTATGTAAGCAACAAGGACAACATATGTATTTAAATGCTTGTTGAATCTGTGATTTATTTATGTTCTGTGTTTGTAGGATTTTGGGATGGCTGAAGAGTTTGCTACAAAAGCACTGGAGCTGAAACCCAAATCCTATGAGGCTTACTATGCCCGTGCAAGAGCTAAAAGAAGCAGCAGGTAAACTATTCAGCAGAGCTTCTTATCAGCTACTGTACTGTGGTTGTAATTGGGTACATTTGGTGATCTGGATCTGTGTCTCTTCTTTACGTCATCCACAGGCAGTTTACAGCAGCCCTGGCAGACCTGCACGAAGCGGCCAAGCTGTGCCCCAACAACCGAGAGATCCGTCGTCTGCTGGCTCGAGTAGAGGACGAGTGTAAACAGATGCAGCGTGTTCAGACTAAAGGAGGCCTCGCTGGAGCTGCAGCTGCTTTGAGTCAGGCATCAGGAGGCCACGAGTCTGATCAGGAGCCAGACGAAGGACAGGGAGACCTGTCAGAGCACAGCCTCGGCAGGAGCGTGGACGGACAAAGAGACATCCTGGAGGAGGAGGAAGAGGAGGAGGAGGAGGAGGCGTCGCTGCAAGACAGGCCAACTGAAGCGTGCTGGACTCAGAACAGTTATTCCTACAACAGAGTCGTACCCTCTGAGCCTGGTACCAACAACTTGTTACACCAGAGCCTGAGCCCCAGCTCACCCCCAGGCCCCGGCAGGCTCCCCCTCCACCGGTACCCTCGAGAGCACCGGGAGGCGGTGGCCCAACAGGGTTTGGTGCTGCAGCCCACAAAGCAGGCCCAAATCGTCAAGACCAACCAGCATTTGAGCTCCATGCAGGCTGTGGGAGGGGCCGTCGGGGGCCGCACCACAGGGGCCAAATCTCAATATGCTCCTTCCAGTCCCTTACCCAGCCGACATATGTCCAGTATGTTGAAGCCGGGCCCCGGCATTGACATTAGCCCTCTGCCGCCCCCCACTGACGAGCCAGTGTACGGAAACCGCCTGTCTCTAGCATCTGCATCCGTCTCTATGGGTCACAGCTGTGAAAACGAGAGTCTACACTCCTCCCAAGCCTCTTACTCATCCTGCAGCAGCTCCAAGGGTCCGGGACAAGACCGGCTGTCTGCACACTCTGTATCCTCCCTGGACGGATTGGCCTGTTCCGGTCCTGCACCTCAGGGGAACCACACAGACCCAGAAAAGGAACTGATGTGTGCGGCAGCAGGATTGCAGGCGGGCGGCGGCAGCAGCAGCAGCATGCGAGTGTCCAGCTCCACCAGTAGCCTGGCGTCCAGCAGCAGCCTATCAGACAGTGGCAAGCTGGGACCTGATGTCCGCACCAAGATATCTGACAAATCCAAGCACAGCCAACAGGCCAGCGCTGCATCAGAGTACAAACCCAGACCCTTCATGGGCATCACTGACAAGACGGCACGCTTTCAGCAGCAGCTCCAACAGCAGCATCAAGGCCTGCAGTGTCACCCGAGCCGCAGCTGGATGAACCACTCGTCTGACGGCCTCATGTGTCACAACATGTCAGTTATGGGCCTTCAGCCCATCGACTGTGAGCTGCCTTATACCAAAACTGTGAGCACTTACCATGAGCAGCACAAACCTCCACCACCTCAGGGTGCTATGGCTATGAGTAGCTTACAAAATGGCATGCATGCCAAGGAATTCACAGAGAAGTTCTGCCAAGCCGCCAACTGTTACATAGAGTCCAAGCCAGCGCTGGCTCTTCCGCACACTTTCATGGACAGTAAGCCCAAGCAGCCTGGCCTCGCCCGAGATAATCCTGCCATCCACGTAGCGTCAATGAAACCAAAGCGATCATTTATAGAGTCGAATGTGTAGAGATGTTTGCTTTATCTCTCATACAGTCCACAACGCACAAAACAACCGCAAAAATCTTAAGTGAGGAAAAATTTGTTTTAACTTTTTAATCAACTTCAAACCCTATACAGTCTCACTTCAAAGCCTTGTAACAAGTACAGAATCAAGTGCTTTGTTTTTCCTGTGTGAATACAGACAGGAAGTGTACAGAACGCTCCAGCTTTTCTCCTCTCAACCTGTCACTTGTGGCTGTCAGCTTCTGTTACTAGACAACATGTCCGCCATTGTTCAGCCAAGCTGGAGACATTGCACTGAAGGAAGTATTTGGACATTCAATGTACAGTCCTCATCAACGCAGCGGTGACAGTAAGCACTTTATACACATTTAAGCCGCTCAAGTGCTTAAACAACATATTCAGTTACAGCATTATGTCATCACGGAACAGTTTAAGTTATACTGGGTTTGAACTATGTTCACTACGTCCATGGTGCTGAGAGAGGAAAAAAACAAGACGAGTCCTCAGTGAAGGTGTAAGAAAGTTTAAAGGACGGGCATTCCTGTGTTTAAGGAAGGATGTTGAAGATCCTCACGTTGTGAATATTATATAAATATGTACTCTCCTTCTTTTCACTGAAGGTCTATGTTTAATGTAATGACAAGTTCAGACTTGTGTATTTTGAGTTTTATGCACAATGTTGTTCAGAAGATGTTAAAGGTTCTAAAAAAGCATTTTGTTCAATGTGTTTGTACATTATATAAATCACCATTAACATGGAATTGAATCCCTTTCTGTATCTGCTTGTTGTTGCTGTCTAGTTTAATTTATTCACAGCGCCAATGGCTTGGTTAATTGTAAAAGCAATATATTTTATATAGTTATTTTTGCACAGCTACTAAGACATTTTATTATTCTAAATGATGTTGAGTTTAAGTGCATGCTTCAATTGCAGTTTATATTACAGAGTAAAGAATATCTATAAAAAAAAAACAGAAATTGTTTCGGGGCACAGCGCCATCAGCTCTATTTTAATATTACATTAATTGCAATTGTTGCCATGTTTTCAGTATTGTGAGCTTTATTAGCTGTGATCACATACTGTAATAGACCATTACTGCCATAGCCACCATGGGAGAGAGAAATAAAGACCCACTAAGGAAAAAACAAACAGGTCTGCTGACTTTTACTCTGACACACAGTACAGCTGATGCACATTAGCTGCAGCAGCAACTTTTTATTTCAGAGGAAGTGTCATTTGTAAAAAAACTGCACAGTGATGCTTTGATTGATTTCAAACACACAGAATAAAGATTTAGCTTGTATGTAGGTTTTTTGTGATCTTAATTTAGACCTGATGTTCAGATATTTGTTGTTAGGGTTAAGGAGTTAATATAACCAATAATAGTAATTAATTCCTTCAATTAAATAAGTTATGTTATTTGATGAAAACTTACTGTTAAATCATTAAGAACCTGGTGAGTTGGATTGTAGCTATAAAAGAAAAGCTGCTGTCTACTGGCTAGACTTCCAGCGTGAGATTGCCATCTTCAGAGATCTGTTGGGGGTGAGGAGCGAGGTCTGCAGGGGCAGGTTCGTCATGGGGCTTGTTTTGTTCCTGCCTCTGACCCAGCTCTCAATAGACTCTCTCTCATAGGAATACCCATCTGTGGAGAAGACACACGTTTATATATTATAGATTAGTTAATATCAGTTATCTTCAAATAAATGGTGCTTTCACTTGAAGTCATTGGTGAGATGTATCAAGGTTTTGTTGACTAACCTGAAGCAATGACTGGATCCCTCATCAACTCTCTGGTGATGGGACACAGAAACTCATCAGGAGCCTCTGACCCGCTCTGCTCTGCCTTCAGGGCCTCAATCTTCCTCAGGAGGCGACCGCGGAGGCCCAAAGATTCTGAGGAACCAACACGGTGATCAGTATGACTCGACAAATAACATGCAGTCTATGTTTTTGTGACGATCCAAATATTGTGAAGCAAATATTGATGGTTAAAAGTGGAAACGAGGATTATTTCACCTAAATCAAAATTGATGTAATTTTAATGTTTTTACACTTAAAACCACTCAGGAGTGTGAGGGGTTTATTCTAAGTTAGCATCCCTTATTTTCCTCCTCAAGTATTAACAGCCCAATAGAGAAAGATCACAGCATGCATCTGCCCACCCACAGCACCTCTTGATCTCGTCATCAGCTGCAAAAATCACTAACGCTTACAATGGAGGGAGGATCTTTACAACCAGACACAATGTTGTTGTGTGGAACAGCAAAGGAGCAGTGAGATTGAGTCTCGTACAGACAGAAAATCAGTGAGTGAGAGCTGCTGCAGTGACATTTTGTGGCGTTCTAAAATGTACTTAAACTAAGTTTTCAAAAACAAACATCTGTGTGTAACATTAGTGCTCAGATTTACTGAACATCCCTTGACTCAAAATAAATCTTTAAGTGTCATTCAAGCAATGAATGCGAAAAGTGAAGAAAAAATTAAGGTCAGGGTTACCTCCATCCTGAGAAATCAGCTTGTGAAATTTTCAACAAGGTGCAATATTTCTACTCCAGCAAAAGAATTGTTAAAATGATATCGTTATTTTACACTTATTGTTAGATCAGGAAGTAGAGATGGAAGGAGGGAAGCCATTCACATACATGCCAGAAAGACTGGGGTTTATTCTTTGCATGATCTCAGTGTTTTGCAGATTCTGTAATCAAGTTTAAAGTAAAACAAGCACATGCAGCAGTGGTGGCCTGCTGTCGCAATCACAAATAGTTTTGATCCTCTGGGAAAAGGGAAAGTGCTTAATTGAAACCTCTTCCATCGTAGAGACACGCTGAACCCATTAAATCCTCTGATTCATCCAATAAACTACTCGAAAAGAAAAAACTGCTCTTAACAGCTCTATAGGGTTTAAGATTTCCATAAGTAGTTCCCACATTTTTCATGGGGGCAAAAGCCATTACTAGTATAGCGTCCACTTTACATTTAGATTGATAATTTGATGAGATGCAACAATAAAACTGCAGAATGAGGCTGTCCTCGCTGAGATACACTGAATTATATCCGAGAGGAACTTTTTTTTTTTCCTCCCCTTACTCAAAGATTCATGAATATTTCATCAAGTAAAGTGTGCTGGAATATAATTTGCTCTGTGTGTGTGTGTGTGTATGTGTGTCTTTGCAAGAGCACACATTTACACAAGCAGCATACATGGAAAATCATAGTTTGTTGCTTACACACCACGGAAAGGAAGGGAAAGGTGGCAATCTGCTGTTTCCTCTGTCCTTCTTCAGTGGTAATGATCCTCGCTGTCCTCCATGCACAACACATGGGAATGTTGCTTAGACCATAGGACAAGTTTAGGATAACTGAGAAGTATGCAAGGAAAGTTTGCTATACTTTTTAACTGCTGCCAAATTAAAGCATACTAATTACGTCGTACATGATTACATTTGACACAACGTATCCATAATCAGCATAAAGACAGTTTTCTGTCTCATTTCCTTCAGAGTTGTCGGTATAAATTAGAAATCAAGATATCTCTTGTTTCACTGCCAGTATATATTAAAAGCAACAACAAATAAAGACATAAATAAAAGCTTAAAATCCTTGCAGGTGTTTTCCTCCAGAAAGTAATTAGGTTTAAATCAGCATCATTAACTGTTAAAGCCAACTATTCAGTCTTGTGCATGTGCACCCAGTTGAACAATATTTCAGATTTAAGTAATGAAGAATAGATACATCTTAAACAGATTGCCTAACTTAATCAAAAAGTAACAAATTAGCCTCAAAGCTTCTTTAGAGCTCACTCATGTAGCACGTGTATTTTTTTGTTTTATAAGCTAAGCTAACCGTCACAGACTAATGACCTATAGTTTGAATTTCATAAGTTAACTTGTACATTTTAATCTCATAGACTGTGTAAAGGAAGTAGAGCTAGACAATGTGATGTGGCTGATTGGTTTGGGAATCGCCCTTTGGAGACCACCAATGTGACATTTTGGTTGTAGCCATCTTGGTTTTTTTTTGGAACCAGAAGTGACCATATTTGGAAAACAGGGTGGGCACATTTCTAAATTTGGCAGCAACTAGTCAATCACAGGTAGCTCTGCCATAGAGCACACCTTGCTTTAGGGACATTTGAACTCTAAATGGGGCCAAACTAGAAGCATCATGCTGTATCATGGACAAATTAAAACTGATGACTGAGACCATCAACTCATCAGGAAAATGTTGCATGGTCTGATAAAATGTGAAAATATTCCTTTAAAACATACTTGCTTTGGGGGCGCTGATGGCCTAGCGGTTAGGTTGTGCCCCATGTCCTGAGGCTACAATCCTCCAAGCAGGCAGCCTGGATTCAATTCCGACCTGCGGCTCCTGCATGTCATTCCTCACTCTCTCTCTCACTCTCTCATTTCCTACTCTATCCACTATCCTTTCTAAATTAAGGCAACAGGGCCAAAAATAGGTCTTTAAAAAAACGACATACTTGCCTTGTTTGGATTACATTGCTGCACTACAGTGTTACTGTTTATAAGCTGTTGTCCATCACCTCGGGGGAGAAGTGTTTTTTTTTTTTTTATGTTTCTGTCCACAGTTTGTCCCGTCTCTTTCCTAACTGAAGCCTTGGACAATCCTGAGCGCACTAATCTTATTTTCGGAGGGATTATCATTGTTTGTGACGTAAAGGTCATTCTGTGGGGTTCTGTCCTCACAGCGTGATTTATGGTTGTATAAGCAGATAGAAACACAGCAGCCTCACATCCCTAAATCAGATAACTATTTGGGGAGAGATTCTGCGAGGGGGAAAATAAATCAGAACATCGATAAAAAGCGGCTTATATCATGCTATCCAATTCAATCTGCTCATGTTAGAGGATCAAACGTCAAATCTGCATGAAAACACAGAAATGAGTGTGTGTGGTGAACACTTCTGTTGCATGTCTTATGTGTCATCCTCACCGATTCCCAGCTCTGCTGCCGTTTCCTTGTTCAGCTTGTTGAGCTCTGGCCCATCCATGTTGTTGCCTTTAAAGACGCTGACGAGTTCCTGCAGCCCTTCTTCACACAGCCAAGTCTGCACATCCTCCTCTGACCAATCAGTAAGCAGCAGCCTGGAGTGACCCGGCAACTTCCTTCCTGAAAAAAAAGAAACATACAACAGGAAGGGAAGAAGTGCTTGCTTTCATACCCCCCCAAACTCCCAACATCTGTGACACACTTATCTGATGAAAAGTCTCTCCCCTCACACTCCACTGAAGAAGACACTCTCGCTCTGTTCTGATATTGGAGTGAAAAATACTGCGCGCACAGATCCCTCACCCCTCATACAAGCATGTGATCTATTGAAAAGATAATTAAGCTGAGGGTAGTGTTCCCACACTGTGCCAGCATCCAGCTAATCAACCTTCACATGACACTACACAAGTGAGCACCCATCATTTATCACAAGAGGCTGAAATAAACCGACCCCGTTGTGTGTCGTCCTGCTAATGACACCGCTCAGCAGACGCATGCTTCCCATCACCCATCATTAGGAACGTAAAGGATAACCCTGAAGACCGGGAGGTGTTGCTCATTACCAACGTTTCCACATATTGGGTTCAACTCACCTCTTCTTCTCTCTCTAGCCCTAAAACAAAAATCACAGTAGATGCATATTTTCCTTCACAACAGATTGTGGTTTTGAACCCCAAACAATGTTTAGCTTATCTTGGAAGAACATGCCTGTGCCTAACATGCACAGTGTTGAAGGTTAGTGAGCTAAGATCA